TTCTAGCGACATGTCACTTAAGATCACATTATTGCACATAATACAATGACTAATTGGGCGAGCATTGCATAATGTATATGCAGTTTGGTTTTAGCCGTTAATTTGCATGGATTGAATGTTATTACGTTTCCCATAAGCACAGCACAAGCAAGACTTGAGTGTTCATTATAACTGGGACTTAACAGAGAAAGATCATTGTGAGATCAGGTTTTATTCTCCATTAAAATATATACTTACATTTTTTTTACATATTTTTTTTTGAATCTATTTACTACACTACTATTGTTAATCAAGGATACGTATTATACCAGAATTACACCAATATACCACTTTATACAACTAGCATTATAATCACAATTAGAATTCGGTTTAATAATGCCTTTCTAAGTAGTCGCTGACTAAAATAATCAGATTCACGAGCACTTGAAACAATATCTAAATTTGCAAGAATATTTTAGGTAAAATGTAACAGTTGGTTTTGTGACAAATGTCAAAATTAGTATTACAAAGGGCGCTAATCAGAAGATAGGTATTTCATTGTATTATGTTATCGCCAAAGAGGCGTAACAGATTTCTTGCCGTATTTCATTGAAATTTCTAGGATCGAAGCATAGAGATTGTATCCGTCAAGAAATTCTCTACCTAGATATTATTAGATTATCCAGTTATCTGGGTAATTTATTATAGCCATATATTAATATATCTATCCGCGTACAATATCTATTGAAGCAAATCACATTAAAATAATAAAATTTCAAGTTTAACATATACTTCCAAAGCGAACCTGCTTAAAATTAATTTTTTTTAATAAAAAAAAATTTTTCTCTTTATTTTTATTTAATTTCTGATGTCTCTTATTTACGTATGACAACTGTTATGCACATATATGTTCGATTCTTTTATTTGAGTACAGGAGTATGCGTATAATCACAATTTCCAAAATTTGTTACCATCAACAATCGCAATGCCGTAAAGCAAAAAATAAGGTTTTGTAATACCCAAATGCAGAGATAGATACAAAACCAGGATATAGTAATTTTTGTTATAATCAAAAAAATATCACTGTAAGTCACTGGAAGCCACTGGAAGTTACTGGAACTCCTCCCAGTAACTTAAAAATCCTCACTGGAAGGGTCCAGTGACAACATACCACTGGAAAATAATATATTACTTTTTTCTTCCAGTTAGTTCCAGTGATCTTCCAGTTCCAGTAATTTTCACTGGAACGTTCCAGTGGACAACACTGATATATAATACTTATACTTACTTAATAAAAACTCACCAACTCAAAAAATTACCTTAACACTCAAAAAAGAACCAAAAAAAAAAAAATAATATTTATAAAAGCAAAATATATAGTTTTTTTTTTTTTTTTTTTAATGTTTAAGGTGCAAAATATATAGTTTTATTATAAGCTAAAACCAGATTATACTATGTATTTAAAAAAAAATTGTACATTTATAAAGACATTTAGAGAAATCTCTTTGTATAAACAAATTTATAGCAATTTTCAAGACAAATTTGCCTAAAATTACCTTATATTTTAAAGGATTAAAAAAGTTTATTTTGGTATTTTATGCTTGATTTACAAATGTGAATATATATACATAATATATTACTGTTGAAAGTTGATAGCCATTTGCTTAAGAAGTTCATCACGTGTCTCAGTCAACTCGGCCTATTTTAATATTATAATTACTATTAAAAATCAGAATAAACATAATCACAGGTCCAAAGCATAAATATCAAATATCCGATAGCTAACGATTACTACCTATTTGCGCCAAAAATCTGATCTATATTGTCAATATGTCAAAAAATAAGCATATCAGGTAAAAGAATAAATATCAGGTACCCGATATTTATTTTTTACCTGTTATGCTTCTGATATTTTTTGATATATTGCCAATATAGATCAGGTTTTTGGCGCAAATAGTTAGCAATCGTTAGCTATCGGGTATCTGATATTTATGCTTTGGACCTGTGAATGTATATGATGTAAGTACAAACCAGTTTTTGTTGAGCCACGTCTAATTGTAATTTAGCCAAGACTACGTCCTTAATAAAAAAATATATCATAATATTAAGAACTGGCAAAAATTCTTATAACAAAAAAAAAAAAAAAAAAAAGATACCGGGGGCAAGACTTGATAAGCTTTCAACTTTTTAGTTTTATCTTTTACTGACTTTTCCAAGGCCTCAATTTGCTCTTCTTTGCTCTTCAAATCTTGAAATCGTAATCCACCATCTTCAATATTCATCGCAGCATATTGTCTCTGTAAAACAATTTATTAGAAAATTTTTCTTAATATTGTAGTAATGTACGTGGTTACCTCTAATCGAGATAATTTTAGCTGATATTCTTTGGCTTTTTGATCTAATAACGTAGTATTACGCTTCCATTCTTTAAGTTTCTGATCTTCTTTTGTGTCCCAATTCCTTCGTAAATTTGTCAAAATTCTGGATAATAATAATAATAAATGTGGAAAAAAAGAAAAAAAAAGTATTTAGAATTATTATAATTTATTTATACAAAGATAATACGAACTCTCTTAGTTTATGATGTCTCAGTTTAGCCTCTTGTGTAGAAGTTTCCAAGGAATTAATAGTACGTGAAATGTCTCTATTTTGTCGTTCAATATGGGATGAATCTATGCTCAACTGCGCTATTGCTGAAAGGAAGCTATAAAGTTTACCGATTTAAAGAAGTTAAATTATTAATCCGAAGATTATTCGAATTATAGTAGCTAACGTTTACCTGCTTCGTTCAATATCACGCAATTCTAAAATTGTAGCTAAAGTCGCCAATATTTTGACTGACTGAACGCCATTCTTGGAAAAATCATCCTTGGATATTCCGAAAGCATGTAAAATATTTTTAATACGACTAGCTATTTAATAGTCAACAAAAGATTAAATGAAAGTATAAGAATAATAAATTGTATAACAAAATAGTTACTTTCTGCACGATATTCGGACGCGTGAATCTTTTCTTGCTTCAGTATAATTTCTGCTAAAGCGTCCTCAGTGTTGTCACTGGAATTCTGAAACGCCACTGGAATTCCAGACTCTTCCATCCTTCCAGTAGTTCTAGTGAAAATTCTTACTGGAAAAATTTTACGCGTACTTATTTCTGCAAGTACGTAGCATGGTGGACAAATCCGAATTTGGATGATCGACATTGTGGCTTAGCCAATTTAATAAAAAAATTTTTTTGATTTTTTATACAGTTTAAAGTACTTTGTATTCTCGTGATTTTTTGAAACTTACCAATTAAGTTCACTTCAAAAAAAAGTTAGCGAAAGTTCTTTGCCTGCCCTGTCTTATATTAAAATTAATCCCAAATAATCCTACTATTTAAAAAGTTTTGTTAGAAATGAAGCTTATTAGAGATCTATGATAGTTAAGCCTATAATTCGAGTACACAAAGGTATTTTAGTGTCAAAACTAAAGACAAATGATGCAAAACTAAGATCTAGTACTTTTAAAAGAATGCCAAAGCAAGCTTGAATAGTGTTTATATAAAAAGCAGAGTAAAAAAGATAAGTTAACTTGTTTTTATATACTTTAAATCTAAAGTTATATGTATTACAAATAAACTTGTTATTTTATAAGTTAAACTTTAATTATTTTAACTATTACAATTTAAAATACAAATAGGATTGATTTAGAAATGATTTAACAAAGTAATATTTATTGAATAGATTAAGTAGAAATAATTTGAGCATATTTAAAAATAAAAAATATATAAACAAATAAGGTGTTGTAATTTCGTTAATATCTTATGTTCTAGTGAGTAGGATTTGATGAAACTTATACCATTTGTTTTATCTCAATGAAATGAATCGAATGGTATAAGTTTTGTTAAATTCTGACTGCTGAATCATAAGATATTTTTGATTTAGTAAATAAAGTTTTTTTGAATATTATTGTAATTTTATAAAAATTGATTGGTTAATTATTATATATATAGATATAACCAATTGTTTAATTTCATGTAATCAATTATCTCTGTACTTTCATTGGACAGATCAGTCCTAAGTCACAAATTTCAAGTTTGGAAATTTGTATTACTATAATTGTCAATCATACTTCTGCAAGTAATATAATATTGATCACCTAAATTTTATTAGGTATTGCTCTAAAGATTATAATATAACTATATTAGCTAATCATATTTATCTATTTCTATATACTAAAAATTTTTGAGTATAAAAAAAATACTTTCATAGTATAATCTTTGATTATATCTTGCCTATCAAATGGTTTTTTATATTTACTACTTATTTAATATAGATAATATTTGTTTCTGTATATTATTGTATGGGTTTTTAGCTAGTATAAAATAAAAAAAAATTTTTTTTTGAATATTAAAGTAATATTTTTTTTTTTTTTAATATTAAAGTAATATATATTTTTTTTTTAAAAAATTAAAGATTTACTATAATATTTAGCTCTAGCATATATTAACAGTTATATGTAAAATATAATTAATTATTTCTATAAAAAGTAAATAAAAATTTTAAAAAGATTATATTAAAACAACTAATTTGTAATATAAAATTGCAAAATTTACAAACAATGCTTAGAGATAGTGTAGTTATATGCAGGGTTTGCATATTTGTCTATTAGTAAAATAAACTCTAAATTTATTGACTAGTTTTATTAGATGTTTATTATTCCAATGAACCAATAAACAAATAAATAAAATAAGTATAAATAAGTTTAGAATACTATACTATATAATATTCAAGATTTTTTTTATATTGATCTTATTTTGTCTTATACTAATAGACTAATAGATTATGATATTAGTCTATTGAAATCTATTAACAAATTTATTTTTAATAGATATATATAGTCTATTGCCAACTTTAGTTATATGATATTAATAGAAAAAAAAAATAAAGCTTTAAATCAAAATATCTTGGTATTTACCTAACCAAATTTGGTGAAATTTTTTTGATTAAATTCTAAAAATCTATAGAATTTATATAAAAAAAAAACTATTAAATTTGGTCAAATAGCTATGAAAATATTTTTGCTAATAGTTAAAAAAAAATTAAAATATTTATCAAAATAGAAGCTATACTAATTTAAAAATTTAAATAAAAATAATTTTTTATTTTTAATTACAATACTGTAGATGGTATTCCAAATTAGACCAAAAAATATAATTGATTAATTGGATAAAAATTTTTTAAAAAATTGATTAAAAATCAATTATAGCCAACTAATTGATTAATCAAATAGTTAATTAATTGATTAATTAACTAATTGACTAGTTGGTATATTGAAATAGTTTGAATATATTTATATAGACATTAATTACAAGATTAATGTATAATACTATATAAAATAACTAGTTAATTATAGTCAATTAATTAATTAATTGATTAATTATTAACAATTGATTAGTTGTTTAATAAAACTATCAATCAATTAGTTGCCAATTTGATTAATTAATTGATTAATTAATTTTTGATTTGAAACACTAACTATAGAATTGAAATAAATAAATTATCAAATTTTTGGTTAGCTAATTGTTAAGTATCTTTGTTTAAATTTACAAAAATTTTTTGTATTATAGATATATACAGTATATTAAAATTTTTATGACTTTGAATTAAAATATTTTAGCAACTAGTAAACCAAATTTGATAACCTTTTTTATTACTATAAAACACTATATAAGATACTTTGATACAGTATTTTACAATTTATATAATAAAAATTTAATTTATATTACCAAATATCTTGTATAGAAGAGAATATATTATATAAGGTTCCTTATATATAAAGAGTATATTATTAAGTATATATATAGTGATACTATATTTTTGTTTTTCTAGTTTTATATTGTTACAAAGTAGGTTGTAATACAGAGTAATACTAGTGTAGCATAGTATAGAAAATATTGTATTATTTATTATATTATTATATCATAATATTATAGTTATTATTATATTATTATTATATATATTATTAGTTATAGTTAATTATATTTAGTATAGAAGAGACTCCATTGGGTAAAATAATATGGCACAGTAATACT